CAAATGTACAAATGTGCTTGACACAATGGATGGATTTTGATAAGAGTCGTACGAGCTCCCCCAATGAAATGATTTTTAAAAAAGCTCGCACACAAGCAGCCATCTAAAACAGAACTACTGGGGGATTTTGGCAAGATGAGGCTACACAGATCCACTACCCCAGTGGTTCGCAACCTTCCTAATGCTGCGACCCTTAATACAGTTCCTCATGTTATGACCACCTCCCCTACCACAAAATTACTTTCATTGCTACGTCATTAACTGTAATTTTGCTAGTGTTATGAATCCGGTGACCCCTGTGAAAGGGTCGTTTGACCCCTCAAAGGGGTCACGACCCACAGGTTAAGAACCACTGCTCAACACCAAGCCACCAAAGACCTACTGAAATCTATACCTAGAACCTGAGCTTCAGAGGAGAAGGTAGAAAAGCAGATTAAATACTGACTAGGGGAAGAAGCTGAACAGAAGTGACCAGAGAGAAGACAGATAGAATTGGGTACACTGAGGCAGCATAGCCACCCTTAACTTTTTGACAGCACTCCATCAAGATAGCAACCAGGTATTCCTGGTAGCTAATGGTGAGAGGTATGATCCTTTCTTGTTCTCGATACCCTCCTAGTGATCAAAAGTGTATCCAGCCCCCATCCTCCCCCAGGAACCTGTCCGTCCCTTCCAACATTCAACCTCCGGTCTGAGGCTGTAGCCGTACACTCATGAACATTTATGTACACTCTGAGCCCTCCCCCCCCCATTCTGGAGGCCTGTGAACTCCCTTTCATCAGAGCAGTAGAACAAACAGTGGCCACTCCAATGGCCAGTGATCAGTTGCACCACCTCCAGCAGCCTCAGGGGCCCTGTGAATTAATTTCTTCTGGTAACAAGCACCCTTACCTCAGTCGCAATCTGAGCTGGCACAAACTACTTTTGCACCAGTTGCCCTGATCTGAGAGAACAAAGGTTGGCATGAACTCCACTTACGGCCAGTGTATCATCCCTTCCTACTAACCAGGTGAGCGAGAACATTTATCTGAAACAGATGAATGTATTAATGTAGAGAAAGACATTGCTGTGAAAGGAGAAAAATGAATTAGATTGTTGCTGCTTTTATTTAGTGCTGTCAAGCCGGCTCCAAATCACAAAGGCCCTATGGGCAAGGAAACAAAAAGAGCCTGCTTCCACACTGTCCTCACAATCCAATGATTCAGCCATTGTTGAAGTCAATGTGTCAGTCCATCCCACTGAGGTCCTTCTTTTTCCCTGACCCTCTGCTTGACCAAGCATGATGTCCAGCTTTAGGCACTGGTCCCTCCTGATCACATGTCCACTGGATGTGAGAAGCTGTGCCATCCTTGCTTCAAAGGAGTATTCTGACTCTACTACTTCCAAGACAGATTTGCTCATTCCTCTGGTACTCCTTAGTATATTCAATAACTTCTGGTCAATAACATAATTCAAAGGCATCAATTCTTCTTTGGTTTCTCCTTATTCACCAGCCAGTGTTAACATGAAGACATGTTAACATGACTTGGAAGAAGCATACCTTAGACCTTAAGATGCCGTCTTTGCCTTTTAACACTGGAGGGCATCTTTCACAGCAGATTTGCTCAGTGCAGGATGTTGCTTGATCTGTTGACTATGGGTTGTATGGACAACTAGACTGATTATCAAAGGCCAAATCAAAACGCAGGAAACTCGATTGAAATGGATAAACTGACACACATAGACTCCAATTTATGAGTAGATCTAATCCAACAATAATAGCCAAGGCAGCTGTGATGTAAGTAGAATATCTCATTTTAATTTAGTTTTCTTTTTTTTTATCAAAGTAGGTTTATAAAGCAGATCTTTCTATCTTTAGACTAAATCAGTTCTTTATACTGTGCTTTATATTTTATTTCTTTATCCTTTGGGGATTGGAATGAGCATGTTAATACCAAATTCTACAGTGCAAATATATATGCACCATCTTATTACTAATGGTGAGATGGTAAGTTGTACAAATACAAGCTCCTCTAAAATCACAGGTGTGACGGTCATCACAACTCAAATACATTGAAAGCCGAGGAATATTTATACTAAGTTTGATGAAACTACATCATAAAGGGTAACGTCAATGCAATTAATATATATACATGACAAAGAAGATGAAAGTGTAACAAAGTAAACCTGTATCAGATAAAGAGTTAGACTGCTTGTAGAAAATGCCTACTGGAACTGGTTGGTGTCAACAAAAATGTGATGGTTTCTCTACAAATGCAGGAATATGGAGAAATATAGTAAACAATAAAAACATAGCCACTCATCATATCTACACTGAGCAATTGATATATGGCTAGTCAGAACTAAAATGTGTTCTAAATATAAAATACACCAGATTTTTAAGATATTATGGTATGTATGTATAAATAAATAAATGTTTTTTTTAATACTGATTAAGTGTGGAAATGGTATATCACTAGTTTAGTCTTACTTTTTTTTTTAATGTGCTTAACTAGGTAATTTTAAAAGAGTTATGTGGCTCATAATTTCTACTGGGCAGGGATAATTTTTTTTTTCCACAGAGCAGCAACAGACCTGCTTTATTTCCAAAGCCTAGCAGGCTGAGAGCAGAATGCAGGTGAAGGCACAGGGCTGTGGGGCGTGGGCATGAGGGCTGAGTGGTTGTGACGGGGTGTGCAGGGATTCATTCTCCCAGAACTGAGAGAAGGGCCCTTGAGGTGTTTAAGCAACACAAGTGTTGGACTTGGCACTGGGTGCATGTAGCCGTTATGGAGTGGGTGTGGAATAGGGCACAGGGGTGGGGAGACTGACCCAGGGGATAGGGAGTGTCTTAGAACTAGATAACTCAGGCATGGGGCCCTGGCTGTGGTCTGAGAAGTGGGTGTCAAGAGCTAGGAGGCATGAGGAGTCTGGTGGGTCTCTGGACCCATGGATACGTGACTTGGGCAGGGATAATTTGAAAGAAGAGGCTATATACACAGGCCAAACACAATCTTCTCCCTGATATGGTGTAGCATAAAATCTAGGACAATTTTTGACAATTTTAAATGGTTAGAAAACAGTAGAACAAATACATTTTGTCATGTGTGACAGTCACAAAAATAAAATGTCAGTGTCTAGGTTTTATTAGGTCACAGCCATAACCATTAGTTGAGGTACTGATTGGCCCTTTTAAAATTTTATTTATTTATTTATTAGTGATTGGCCCTTTCTAGAAAAAGTCGGACAACTTTGGTCTAGAAAAATAATACAGTATTTGATAATGTTTATCAACCCAGACAGAGTAATCAATGAAAATATTTTAAATAAAATTTAAAAGACAGTTTATGAGAGCCAAAAGTCATTAAAAAATGTGGCATTTAATTTAAACTGCTGGTGCGGCATGTATTCTCCATACGCGCCTTTGCAGTGTCCCCACTGCCTTGGTATCCTGACACGTCCTCCCTTGCACTTGGCTGGCAAGTGACCTTCCACAAGGCCTTACCAGCACTGACAACTCCTTCCATCTGAAATGCCTTTACCCTAGTACCCAGAGCTATAACTTCCTTACTACTATACATCTGTGGTCAAATATAAGCCACTTGCTAATTTTCAAAAAGTCCTCATAAATTTCATACTTCAGCCAGCTACCCTGCCACACCCAATGCCCCTTTCAACCACTCTCTTATTTTATGGCAACTAGATTTCCACTTTATAGCACACATTATCTTTCAGTCTGGTGTATTTTATTATGACTGTATATAAAAGGTTGTTGACTGTTGTGGCTTGATACTCAAGGTTAAACCCAGTAAAGCCAGGGATTTCTAACTATAGCATTGCTTAATGTGTGCTGAGAATCTCAAGGATCTGAGAATCTCAGACCCACAGTCACTCAGTCCCTCTGACTCATAGGAACCCTAGGGAGGGCTTCCCAGGCTATACATCTTTATGGGAGTAGACAGACTGTTCTTCCTCCACAAAAGTGACTGTTGAACTATCTACCTTGAAGTTAACAGTACAGTGCTTACTGACATTACTGTTATAGCCACCAAGTCAATCACAATTCATGCCTACCCCATGTGTTCAGAGTAGAACAACTCCATAGAATTTATTTTGTTTTTGTTTTATTTGCTCTATAGGACTTTGTTGGCTCTTGGCTTAGAGATTACAGGATTGAGCTGCAAACTACAAAATCAGCAGTTCAGAACCACCAGCTGCATCACTGAAGAAAGACGGCTTTCCACTCCCATAATAAGTTACGTATAGAGACCTGTAAACCAACTCTATAGCAGCAAGTGGGTGAGTAACCTTATATGCCTAAGCAGACTGAAAGATCTTCTGCAGTGCCCCTAAATAGGTTCAAATGGCCAACTTCTAGGATAATAGTTGAGCAGAAACTGTACGGCACATAGAAAACAAAAAACATCTGCTACTGTCAAGTTGATTCCAATTCATGGCAACCCTACAGAACAGATAACTGCCCCCTAGGATGTCCAAATCTTTAAATCTTGACAGAAGAAGACTAACACATCGTTCTCTCACAGAATGGGTGGTGGGTCCAAACCAAATGTAGGCGATTTGGTTAGCATACAAGTGCTTACCCACTGTACCATTGTGGCTCACTTAGCACAGAGCAGGTGGACAATAAATACCTATTGCACTAATGAGTAGAAAAAAGCACATCCTCACCCAACGAGAAGAGATTCCTGCACACCTCCAGCATCACGTCTCTGTACAGGTTCTTCTGCTTAGAGCTCAGTATCTTCCATTCTGCCTCCGTGAAAACCACAGTGACATCCTTGATTGTAACGGGCTCCTAGGATGAGTAAGAAATCAATGTGTAGTGAAACACCACCAATTTTCACAGTGAGAGGTCAGCTGAGGGCCCCGAAGAATCTGCATCTGAAGTTCATCTAATTCAGTGGGTCTCAACCTTCCTAACGCTCTTTCTACTTGAGCTCTTGGTTTATCAACTCATTTTTCCCCTCCCTCACCATCCCTTCCATCCTCACAAATCCTTGATAACTTATAAATTATTTTTATTTTCCTATTTTACACCATCTGCTGTCTCCCTTCACACACGTTTCTGTTGTTTGTCCCCCAGGCGTTATACATCAATTATTGAAATTGGTTCCCTGCTTCTCCCCTTTTACCCTCATGGTATCCCTACTCCATTATTGCTCCTGAGGGATTTATCTGTCATGGATTCCGTGAGTTGAGAGCTCTTGTCTGTACTAGTATACATGCTCTGGTCTAGCTTGATTTGTAACGTAGAACTGGGGTCATGATAGTGGGGGGAGGAAGTATTAAAGAAGTAGAGGAAAATGTATGTTTCATTGGTACTATATAGCACTCTGACTGGCTTATATCTTCCGTGCCCCTTCCGTAAGCGGATGTCCAATTGTCTACAGATGGGCTTTGGGTCTCCACACTGCACTCCCTCTCATTCTCTTTCCTATGATTTTTTGTTCTGGGAAAACTTACTTCCTTTTGAGGAATGGTTGAATTCACCCATGAAACTGTGATTGTGAATTTGAAATCCATGTACCTTTTAAAATGTTAGATGAGTAACAGAGTGATTTGTTAAAGAACAAGAGGAATGCTGTTTCGTCAGTGCTATACTGCACCCTGGCTGATTTGTCCCTTCCTGTGATCCTTCTATGAGGGGATGTCCTATTGTCTACAGATGTTGCTTGGGTCTCTACTCCGACCCCCCTCTTTTGCATCTATAAGATTGTTTTGGATTTTCTGATGCCTGATACCTGATCCTGTCGACACATCATGATCACACAGGCTGGTGTGCTTACTCCATGTGGACTTTGTTGCTTCCCTGCTAGATGGCTGCTTATTTATCTTCAAGCCTTTAAGACCCCAGACACTATATCTTCTAATAGCTGGGCACCATCAGGTTTTCACCACATTTGCTTTAGCACTCATTTTGTCTTCAGTGATCGTGTCAGGAAGGTGAGCATCACAGAATGCCAAGTTATTAGAACAAAGTGTTCTTGTATGGAAGGAGGACTTGAGTAAAAGCCCAATGTTCACCTACTACTTTAATATTTAACATATACATATATGTACACAAATCTATAACCCTATAGTTATATATTAATATATTTTCATCTATAAATGCCTATACTTATACCTCTATAAATGTCTTGCTTCTAGTTCTTTCCTCTATTTACTTTTACTTTCCTCCTGTCCCACTATCATGTTCGCCCTTCATTCATTACCTTTCAGTAATTCCTTCTTGGAGAGTGGTGTATTAAAGTCACCTACTATGATCGTTGAGGCCGTGATTTCTTTTTTCATCTTTTGGTAGTTTGATTGATGAATTTCACGGGTCTCTCATTGGGCGCCTATATATTTTTTATGCACACTGGTTCTTGTTCTACTGATCCCTTGAACACTGTATAGTGTCCCTCCTAATTTCTTGTTATGGCTTACACCTTGAGATATTTTTTATCAGAGATTAGGATTACAATGCCTGTTATTAAATTGCCATTTGCTTGGTACATTTTTCTCTAGCCTTTAAATCTCAGCCTATTTTGTCTGCTAGCTTTAGACATGTCTCTTGTAAGCAGCAGATTGATGGGTTGTGTTTCCTAAGCCATTCTACTAGTTTCAGTCTTTTAATGAACATGTTCAATACATTGATATTCAGAGTTATTACATCCATCTGTGAACTCAGTGATGTCATCTTGTACCATTCCTGTTGGGTGTTTCCCTACCTTCCTTTTTATCAATGTGTAGTGTGTGTACATGTATTTCATTCCTGCCTTCTTTTCACTGATGAGCCAATGTTATTTTGTGGGCTGTTTTCAATGTGTTGAACTCTGGGTGGAGTTGCTATACAGGGTGGTCTCATATTTCTGCTCAGTGAGTGTTTTTCTGATCATACTGAGGCAGCAAGGATTTTTTAGAGCTGGGTTTCTTTTATCGTATACTTTGAGTTTTCCCTTGTCTGGGAAGACTCTTACTTCTCCTTCTATTATGATAGATAATTTGGCCATGTAGAGGATTCTGGAGTTTGCCTTGTTTTCTTTCAATTTCAGCAAGATGTTAGTCCACTCTCTCCTTCATGGTGTCTGCTGATAGGTCTGAGCATATTCTTATTTGGGTACCTTTATAAGTGACTGTCTTTTTGCTCCTAGGTGCTCTTTTGATTTTCTCCTTTTCGTCAAAGTTGGATAGCTTAACTATTATCTGCCTTGGCGAATTCAACCTGGGATCCAGTCTAGCTAGTGTCCACTCCACTTCCTGAATGGTTGCCTGATTCTCATTCATTACGCTGGGGAAGTTTTCCTCTAGGAATCCCCTCGCGATTTTTGCTGTTGACTTCATCATTGTGTCTTGTTCTGGGAATCCAGTTAGTCTAATTTTGTTCCTCTTCACAGGATCAGACATTGTTCTAAGGTTTTCTTCAGCTTCTCTGATTATTTGGTTTGACTGTCTTTCCCATTTGTTGAAGTCTGCCTGGTTATCCTCGAGGTCACTGGTATGGTTCTCCGCTTCTTCTATTCTGTTGATGAAGTCTGTTAATTTGTTGGTTGCTTTTGTTACCTAGTCCCTTAACTCTTCTTGCATTTCCCTTTGGTGGGTGGCCTCTCTCTCCTGTATCATTTCATCTTTTTTTCCTGTATTGCTTCTCTCATATCATATATGACTCCAAGCAGCATCAACTTCTGCTGCTACTATGCGCATCGCTAAGTTCAGGACCTCCTGCGACATTGTGTTTTGTGTCTCCTATTTTTTCACTGAGGTTGTTTTGGTAGGTTATTGTCTGCGTGTTATTTTGGAACACAGCATCATTTTCTGGGGAATCAAACATCATCTCTTTTGGGAAGCTGGTAGGAATGCTTCTCCGGGCTGCCTGTAGACAACTGCACTGGGGGGTTAGGCTACCACTTTATCCCAGGAGTTTCCCTCTCACACTAACCTACCAGGATTCTATTTTTTGGTGGGCAGGTTGGAAGGCTCTAGGGGACGCTCACAGATGGTTGCGGGCCTCCAGGGTGGCACTGTGTAGGTCAGTTGGGTGAGGAGCTAGAGCAATTTGGTGGAGAGCATAGGAGGGAGGTCTCAGGGTGGATTGAGCCCCGTGGAGGGCACGCAGGTTCAAGGACTGCCCAGCTGGTGGGGGGCGGGAGACGGGTGCATGGAGCTGGGGCGAGCCTGTGGAGGAGTCTCAGGACCATATGGTAGGGTCCAGTAGTGGGGTTATTGGGTCCAGATGGAATGTCAGGGGAGCTGCAAAGCTGGATATGGCCTGGATGGGGAGCTGGAGCACCATATGTGGCAGGGCAGAGGAGCCACAGGGCCTGTGTAGTCCTGCAAGGTTGCTGCAGATCCGGGACCATCATGCAGGGGGCAGTAGAACTAGCAACATCCTGTCAGGGAAGCCTCAAGGTCTGGCGGTCCCTCACAGGAGTGGCAGAGTCAAGTCAGCAGGGGGAAGTGGGGGTGGTCTCAGGGCCAGGGTGATCTCACAGTGGGGGTCACAGAACCAGGTGTAGCCCAACTGGAAGGGTCATGTACTGGAGGTGAACTTTCAAAGACTCTTTGTCAAGCGCCAAATTTGTAGAACTAGTTTTTGGTCTGGGCTGTGGCCTTTAGCTCCTGTTGGCTTTTCCTCTTTTGCTATGTTAAAGCTATGTTAATGAACCAGCTTTGTGCTGGCTTACATTCATAGCTATGAAAAGGAACACAGCCTATAAACAAAAGCTTTTTTTTTTTTTAAGCTAAATAAATGAGGTTTCATTTATTTGTAATTCTATTATGTCAGACCAATTGAGCTCTAGAGTTTGATATTTAAAATGTCCAGGATATGTCTTCTCATTCTATTAGTGTTATCTTAAAAATAATTTTTTTAAAGGGGTTTGTAGTATGCCTTGGTATCAGTGCTGCACCACTCTGTCTCCCAAAGGCGAGGAACCAGAGTGGCCAGTTGGGTTTGAGGCACACTGGATCTGGATCCCCAGGTTGCCCTCCTGTGTTACTCCTTGCTGTGCTCCAGGGATGTGCTTCCTACCTGTTTTGTTAAGTTAATGCTATGTGAATGGCCCAAGTTTACATTCAAAGTTATACCAAGAAACATGGCCTCGGATTGAAAGCAGTTTTTAAGTTTGTTTTTTAATATAAGGACCTTATAGAGTGCCCTGGTATCAGGGCTATTCCACACAGTTCCCAGGGAAGGGGGACCAGATTAGTCGAGTAGGTTTGGGGGCCCCTGGATCTGAATTCTCCTGGTTGCTCTCCTATGTCACTCCAGGCTCTCTCCTACACAGCTCTGCAGGCTGTGCTCTGGGGATGTGTTCTGCCACAGGTAAATATCCTAGGGGTTCCCCAATTGCAGCAAATTAGTATCTAATTATCTAATGTGACTCATCCTGGCAGGTGTGGAGTTGGGCAGAGGGGTAATGGGCATGGCTGATGTAGTCTGTTCCTGGCTGGGAAGGAGAGAAACAAAGCCTGCGAATGCAGGAGCTGGGAGAGTAAAGGAGAGGGGACCTCCAATGTGAGCTCTGGGGGCTAGTTCTAGAGGCTCTGCGAACCTGGAATTATGACCACCTTTAGAAAGCAGTCTGGGGAAATTGCTGCATGCTGCAGGTCTCGGATCTTGGGTGCAGGAGGGGTGGTGGACACCGTCCTACTGGATCTTGTGAGGGATTAATTAGTGGAGCTCATGAGCAGACACGGTGAACTAAGCGCATTTCAGTGAGCCCTGCAATAACTCCATGGGTGAAAATCACATGGGGGAGGAGGACTGGACTACAGACCCTAGTACATTTGAATTCTACTTCTAGCACCCAGCCTCCCAATATTGGCCTCCTTACTTCCTAATTTTCCAATCTAACATCAGGAGTCCCAGGAGGTGATTCTACCTGGACACCATCTTGACTCCACTTCCTGAGAACATTTTCATATTTTTATTTTATGTTGAAATATCATCTATATTGATGACTGTAGTATGATTTTCATCAGTAAGTGCTTCAACTAATTTTTGCTTTTATTAAATAAAGTTTTCATGTCATCTGTATACCGAAGATGACACAAGTAAGGCAGCCCAGGGAGAGCGACCAAGTTTAAGGCTGATATAGAAAGTCTAAAGAATAGGATTCTTTAAATTTGGTAGTACTGACCTAATTTCAATGGACTAAGATCAGAGTAAAAGTCCTGTGTGGGCAGCTGCTGTCAGAAGTAAACAGAAGTGGAAAATTCCATTTGACTACACAGTATCATATTCCTACACAAAAGGACAATCCCTTAGAGATGACTGCCAAGTGTGTACGATGGTACCCGAGAATCTCCTGTTACTATTTGTTCTCAATCTGTATATCTAAAAAGACCAATAAGTTAAAAAAAATTGATATTAGACATCCATCCGTGGATGTGTATTAAAAGTTAATAGTACATTTTAAAATGTTAATAATCTCAGTTTTTCAAAATATATTCCTTATTTCTTGGAGTTTCCTGGATTTTCATTATTAATCTTGGGTATATTTTCCAACAAGGAACCTAAAATGCAAACATGCCTAACTTGGCATAAAGGCATGAAATGTCTAAATTGTTGGTTGCCTTATTCCTTTCCAAGAGAGAGAATATAATCCTATCCTCTTGGAAATGAGCCAGCAGTGAAGATAATTAAGATAACTAACTTCAACTCACAGGTATTTGAGCCTTCCTCCTCTTCTCTTGGGGACAATCAGTATCCATAGCAGACAAACCTAGGGATCAAAAGAAAAGCTGTGCAAAAAGCAGATCACCCATAATGCACCCTGATTAGTTCTTCTGATCATGGAAGGGAAGGACGGAGTTACTTTACTCAGCTGTGACCACTAAAGCAGTCTCACCTGAATCCGGAGTCTTGGCCCCCGCCCTTACCCAGACCCTCTACAACTCTCACCTTTTGCTGGGGTCCTCCTGGTGTCCATTACTTCCCTGTTCTTTGAAGCCAAAATATCCTTGTCCTGCTCTTCAGGAGCACAAGGACCAAGAGTCAGTCCATGTCCTGCCTGATATTTTGCCACAGAGCCAGAGGGAAGTTCTTTCATCTCCAGATGGACCTCTGCTGCCTAAGGGATGATGGCTTCAATCCTCACTTATGAAAGCTCTTCCCCATGCATCCAGGACCTGTGGGATGGAGAAGCAACTTGATGCTGCTGGATCTTTTATTGTGGGCTCTAAACCTAGCCTCTTCAGCAGGGATCCTGTCGTCTTACAACATGCTCAGTCAGCAAGCACAAAATCTCAGGCTATTTGGTTCTCTGGATTTTCTACCTTGATCCATTTCTGGTCTATTCCCTGTCACACTCCCTTTTCTGTTAAAATTTACAATACACGTCTCACCCACATAACTCAGAATGGTCAAAGATTTCATCTCACTTGGATCCACAATCAGCTCACAGAAACAGCAGTCAGGAAATCAAAGGATATATTAAAGTGTTGAAGAGCAAGGGTGTCACGTTGAGGACTAAGGTGTTCCTGACCAAGGCCACGTGAAAGATGGACACTGAAAAAGGATGATCGAAGAAGAAATGATGAATTTGAATTATGGTGCTGGCAAAGAATGTTGAAAGTACAATGGACTGTCAATAAAACAGGCCCTTGCAGAAGGGCTGTAGGAAGGAGAGGAGCCAATCAGAGTGCAGTGTAGCAACGATGAAATAGGCAATTTTCCTCTAGTTCTTAAATGCTTCCTCCACCCCACCTCACTACCATGATCCCAATTCTACCTTACATATCCGGCTGGACCGGAGGATGTACACTGGCACAGACAGGAACTGGAAATACAGTAAACCCAGGACAGATGAACCCCCCAGGACCAGTGGAGAGTGTGGCGATATCTGGAGAGTAGAGGGAAGGTGAGGGAGAAAGGGGGAACAGACAGCGGAGAAGTGGGTGAGGGAGACGTCAGATGGGGTAAGATATGATAAACTAATAGTAATTTATAAATTATCAAGGGGGAGGGGGGAAGAGGGGTGCAGAGAGAGGGGAAATGAGGAGCTGACACCAAGGGCTCAAGTGGAAAGCGGGTGTTGTGAGAATGATGAAGTCAACATGTGTACTAAGTGCTGGACACAAATAATGTATGTATGGATTGTGATGAGTTGTATGAATCCCTAAAAAGATGATTATTAAAAAACAAACAAACAAAAAAACAGGCATATCTGTCTTGGATGGACGAAGTAGAGCCCAAATGCTCCTTAGAAGTAAGAATGACATAAAAGTAAGAATGACATAAAACTTTCCTCTAGTTCCTAAATGCTTCCTC